GAACTGTGGAGGTGTGTCTGCAGATTCTTTGAGGAACTGAAAGTGAGTCTCCTGAAGAGAATGGAAGCTGGAATAAAGGGAAAGAGCGACTCACTGACTCACACAGCTGAGAGTAGAGTTAGCTGCTGAGGATTCTGGGTAGTTTTCTGTTAAATGTGTTTTCTGCTTCTTTCCTGAAAATGAATAACTGTTTTGACTGGACATTAAATAAATGAAGGGGGTCTCTGACTTTTGCACAGCGCTGTATTCAGAAATGTGCAGTACTGAATTCAGAATCATTTCAGAATCTGTATTTTATGTATTTCCTGCTTGTGATGAATTTTACATCATACGCTTCTTTCATTCATCTGTCAATAAGAACAAACGTCATTTATTAAATAAATAAAGTTATTTTGTGTTGTAAACTGTCACACATGCAGTACGAGTTTAAAGTGTGTTTTTAATGTGGAATGTTGATGTCTGTGACTCTACATGCACAAACCTGAAGATGCCTCAGGGTGGTCTCAGACTGTCTGAGGGTCTTAGGGTGGTCTCAGACTGTCTGAGGGTCTTAGGGTGGTCTCAGACTGTCTGAGGGTCTCAGGCTGTTCTCAGAATGTGTGAGGGTCTCAGGGTGGTCTCAATCACATTTTTAATCACAATAAAAACTCTGAAATGACGACGATCTGCGTAAAAAGATCCGAGTCGAGAATCTGACGCTGAAAATCTGATAATCACGACTCCTGCTGGTCTCGTCTGCTACTGAGCTGCTATGAGAAACACGGAGATACCAAAACTATCCCGACTGGAGTTTAATGAGATTTCAGACGCTCAGGTTCAGATCCCAGCCGTGCTCTGTGCTGAAGGATGACCAGAAGGTCTGTACAGTCATGTGACTCAGTGACCCAGTGATTAGTGAACCATCAGAACCATCAGGCCAATCAGAACCGTCAGGAACGTTCAGGGAGATGATGTCTTTGGCAGGAGATACTGAGTCCAGTTCAGTTCAGTCCAGTTCAATCCAGTTCAGTCCAATTCAATTAATTTCAGTCCAGTTCAGTCCAGTACAGTCCAGTTCATCCCTCAGAGAGAATCCTGTACTTGGTGGTCCTCGGTGGTCTCTGTTCTTCTGGTCATGCTGTGTCAGTCTGATGTTTATTGAAGTCTCACACTGACCTTCAGTTTTAGTAAACAGTGTTGATCCACACACACACACACACACACACTCTCTCTCTCTCTCTCTCTCTCTCTATCTGGTCAGTCATTGTTGAGCAGCACCATCTTCTGACTGTTTGTGGTCGAGCTGCTGCATGTGATTGGCTGGAATGTAGTGCTGGACGTCCTCCTGCTGGTGGAGATCTGACTGACCGACAGAGCCAGGAGTGAAGAGCGGGTTCAGGAGATGAGAGTGGAAGACTCGAGCTTTGATGTGGGGACACACACACACACACACACACACACACATGCATACTGACTGGAAGTCTATCCACCACCAGACCTGCAGAGAAGAGAGCTGGTCAGCCACATCGTCAACAGGACAGAATCAGAATCAGAGCTTTCAGGTCATTTGAAGGTCAGTGATCTGCAGTGTCCGTGTGTCTGAGGAGCTGCTGGATGGTCACTGTGGAATTTTAGGAACTTATAATGTGTTTGTTAGGATAGTGCTAAGTGGTTACTGTGGTATTTTAGATGGTTGCTTAGGAGTTGCTATGTGGTTGCTATGGTAGTGGAGGTTAAGATTAAGAGACCCTTATTAGTCCCATCCGTGCAGTGAAACACCACATACACACTAGTGAACACACACACTAGGGGGCAGTGAGCACATTTGCCCAGAGCGGTGGGCAGCCCTATCCACAGTGCACGGGGAGCAGTTGCTCAAGGGCACTTCAGTCATATACTGTCGGCTCAGGTGATGGTTAGGCTACTGATCAGTGGTCACTGTGATTTCTCCAGGGTGCTCAGTGTCTCCATGTGGTTTCTATCATACAGTCAGTGTTTGGTAGGGTATTGCAATGTGGTCACTATGGTATCCCAGGTGGGTGCTAGGGTGTTGATAGCTGATTGCTATGGTATCTTTGATGGTTGTCAAGGTGTTGCTAGGTGTTTGCTGTAGTGTTGGAGGTAGGTGCTAGGGTGTTGATAGCTGATTGCTATGGTATCTTTGATGGTTGCTAAGGTGTTGCTAGGTGGTTGGTATGGTGTTGGAGATGACTGCTTGAGTGTTATTAGGTGGTTGCTGTGGTATCCCAGGTGGTTGTGAGGGTGTTGCTGATCACTTGCTATGGTATTTCTGGAAATTTACTAGGGTGTTGTGAGGTGGTTGCTATGGTAACACAAAAGGTTGCTAGAGGGCTGCTAGTGTACTAGTGTACTTGTATCATTTTGACATAAGAGGCCACATAGTTCCCTCGGTCATTTCTATGGGAGAGAATCTGACTTTGAGTGGTCACTATGTTAAAACCAAATGACTATTCAAAATAAAAGCCCTCGTCTCACAATCAGACTGAACATTCCAGAGTGGGTTCAGTGTCGATATCTTGAAAACTGGCAGTTAGTGGACAAAAAATCCAACAAAAAAATAATAAAAATAATAATAAGAGGAGGAATATGAATCAGATAACAGTGATGTACACTGAAGAGCACCTGATACAGTCCAGCAGGGGATCCTCATCATATAATCTATAAAACTAACCCTGAATATAATTTCATTTAGTTTTAATAACTACACTGTAAAACTTGTTATGACCTAAAATTCAGTGACCATTGACCATCCAACATTTAGATTTAATTAAGTTAAAACAATCTTTTTTTAATATCAGGTAACTTTAATAAAAATATATTACATCTATAATATAAAAATATATAATACATGAAATATGAAATATAATATTGAAACAGATGAAATAAAATTTCACATTTATTTCAACTTTTCAGAACAAGGAAATAATTCAGGAGAAAAACTCATTAATCATCTGTCTGTTTTAGTGAACTTTATGAACTTTAATCTCAGTTCAAATTTTTATCCAGTCTGATAGCCGAAGGGAAATGATATGATTATCTGGAAAATGGAATGGGAATGTCTGGAGACTGATGTGGATCCTGGGATCTTACCTTCCTCTCCGGATATTTCTTCATTAACAGAGTAACAGTGTCAGCAGAGAGATAGAGAGAACAGAGAGAGGGAGAGAGAGAGTGAACACAGAGAGAGAGAGAACAGAGAGAGAGAGAGAGAGAGAGAGAGGGAAAGAGAGAGATACAGAGAGAGAACAGAGAGAGAGAGAGAGAGAGAGAGAGAGAGGGAGAGAGAGAGAAAGAGACATCAGAAATAAACCAATATGCACGTTTCACCGGCACTGCCGTCTTCCTGAGGACCCAATGAAGATTCCCAGGAATTCTGCAGAGTCGGAAGAACTGCACCGAATTTAAAGTGCAAGTAGGCAAAGAGGCCTTCGTAACTTCAGTGAGTCCAAAGTCGTTTACTGTCTATAAAATATATATAAAAAAAGGTTCTACACTTTAAACATGATTCTCAGACCAGGATTAAGCCTAAGTCTAGACTAAAAAGTATTTCCAATGGTGATTCAGCACTGGCACTCTGATGTAGTCCAGGACTAGACTTAATCCATGTCCAGGAAACTGACCCATATCAATCAAACGTCTTATTCTGGGACTTTATTTTAAATGAGCTTTAATTTGGGAATCAGTAAAGAAAATGTTGGTGCAGTTATTCTGAAATCTGAGCTCTCGGTGTGAAATAAACAGAATCCTAAAATATCACAGTGAATATTACAGTGCAGAAGGTTTTAACAAAAAATTATATAAAAATATTAAAAACAGATTTACAGAAAGTCCAATATAGAAAAACATCAATATTAAGTTGAAGTTTGAGGAATTTTAAAACTGCCTGTTAATTTTGGATCTTTGAAATATTAAGTCTTTAATCGTGTTTCAGTTGTTTTGCTCCAATCACCTCCAACCTGCTCGGTCACATGACAGATTTCACAAAAAAAGCAAAAACTACAATTTAATTCATGCACAACTTTTATAATAATTCGTTTTTAGAAATTACTCCATCAGGTTCAGAACCATAAACACCAGTTTAAACTGTTTACAGACTAAACTGAGCTGAATTATTAATAAATAAAATAAAAACACAACAATAATGTAAATTTAAATTTTTAAGCCTTGACTAAAAAGAATTTCTCATGCCTTCACTCCAGTTTAGCTCTAGATTAAGCTTAATCCAGAAAACTGGCCTTTAGTGTCATTTATTCACCATCAGCTCTCAGTCAGTCTGTAAACGGATAATCTCAGAGTTTAAGTTGTGATTTAGAACCTGATCTTTAAACAATATTTTGGAGCACAGCTTTGAAATTCTGCACAGCTGAATGAAACTATTTGAATAAAACTAGTTTTGTTTTTTTTCCATGAAAATCTATGATGTGAGAGAGTCCAGCTGAGTCCAGCTGAGTGTTTAAAACCGAGTCCAGAGGAGCCGCGATGACGTCTCAGAAACAAACTATCTGCCGTGTCGCCTGAACTATTTAACGAGCTTTGTTCTGAAAATGGAAATCCTTTAATATTCATTTTTAATTTAGACACTAAATATTTTATTTCAGTTCACTCATTATAATGTAACAGAAACATCTAATATTATGTGATTATAAATGTTTATACAGTTTAAATAACAGATTATACAAAATCTGGTTTCAACTATGTTTTTTCAAACTGTGTGGAAACATGAAAGTGTGACTCAGTGTGTTTTTACACCATCACAGTCTGTTTATCATATCATATATCATATCATATCATATCTACTGCATATTACAGTAAGTGAGGTGATATAATCTAATGTTGAATATTCAAAAATAAATTGAATATATTTTATAATTAATATTTTCCACTGACTCTTGTTCTGTTTGTCAGAGAACAAATTCATTTGTGCTGAAATTTTCTCAGAGCAGATTTTGATAAAGACGAACAGAAACAACAAATAGAAGATAAAATAATGAAAAAAGACC